GAGCAAGTTTTATCGGAATTACAGAGTAGTTCTTCACTAAAAGAAGAGCAAAACGCTGCTCTGGAGGCTTTTCTCAAAGAAAAAGATGTTTTTGCTCTTCTCCCGACTGGTTTCGGCAAGAGTAGCCTAGCTTGTGGTTGTGTTTTCGTTGTTGTTCTGTTAGTATGTCATATGCTTCGTTGATCTGATTGGTTTATTTGGCCTGTCTATCACCACCATAGGCCAATCAGCTAACCAGTATTTTCGCCCCTTCCCAAAATTACTTCAACGGAAAGTTTCCAGATGGATATGCGGAGCAAATCCATCTGGCGGAGTCAGGTTAATGCAAACTACTCTGTTTCAATAATTACTTACATTTCAATAAAGTTAGTAGATCTAAAATAGTCATATTTGCATATTAGAAACCATACTTCTTTAAAATGTAAGATTTTCAGCATAGTTACATTAGCAGGGTTTTATATTTGTAAAACTTGAATTTATGATTTAAAGGAAATGGCAAGTTTACTCTGTAATAGTGCAAAACATTATCTCCATTGTTTTATTAGTGTTAGCATAGTTATAAATTAGTACAAGTTTAATGTGTTAATTAGTTTAACACATCTGAGTGAGTAATAAATATATGCATGCTTTTAAGCTCAGCCAATTAATATCAGCCTCTTCTCCCAGATTCATTAAAATCTGTATAGAAACCCCATTAGTGGTGGGGAGTTTCATAAAAGGATTTGGGGTCTTAGAGCCTTTGAAAGACATTGGATCAGTATTTCATGGGTTGTTACTTCCTGTTTCATGCTTTGGTTTGGTCTGTAAACATAACAGCCTAGTTACCAAGTGTTTTGCTCAACTTATAACAGACGGCTGGTTAATATTGACACTAGAGGCAAAAAGTTCTATCCGGCAATCAACATTTAATCTGATTTAAGCTCCACAACTCAGAGCATAATGCAGAGTTTACACATGGATCTGAGCAGGCAGATGCTTCTAAGGGCTGGTACTCACCCATACTGTACTGAAAAGCCTTCAGAACACCAACTGTTGGTGTGTCAAAGTCCAGATCAGCATAATGACAACACTTAAATTGACTGTAAATGTTTTTGCTGAGCGAAATGTCCCTGTTTTACAGCTGAAATCCACTGTTGCTATTGGTGATTGCAGCAGGGAGGCCTTTTAGTGAATCATATACCTATGTGTCATAAATCAGACCTGCTGTTTACTGTTATAAAGTAAATAAAAAAATGGCCATCTAAAGTCTCTTCTGTTTGCTAGGTGATAGTCCACCTGCTCTTTGAATATTTTCCTTTTTAGGTCATGAGAAAGAGAATCATTGTTTGGAAAATCTATGCTTCTCACTGCTCTGTGGGTTTCAAAAGTAAACTGAAACATTCAGAAGCCTTAAAAGGTTGGTGTTGCTTTTTTTAGTGTTTTTCAGCTGTCTTGTTTTTGAAGAGCAGGTCTGATTTTTAGAAGCAGATGGAGGAGATGATATTGTTTAGAGGAACTTGTTGTTTGGAATGCAGCTGCATGTCTGAACATCATGCTGCCTGATAGGGAATGTTCTGATTGCAGTATCTGCCACACACACTCTGCTAGCTTCCCTTTTTGGGCCCCTCTTTTTGGGTCTCTGTCTGATATATTTTATCTCCATGTAATTTAAACTCTAATCGTTTATTATTGAAGTTAGAGAAGCTCCTTGAGTAACAATTACTTACTCTTTGATATACATAATTTCCTTCTTTATCAGTTCACCCACCTGTGCTCTCCCTTACCGTCTTCAGAGTTCTCAAATGTACATTTTAAAGCTGTTAAAACCAGAGTATAACTTAAATTTATTGTTTTTATTCATAGAAATGCAGTATATTATACGGGCTAAAATAAGGTGTTTGGCATTGTATGGAGCCTAGACGGAAGTTCAACTGAATAAACTGATTACTTACACTGATACACTTCCGACACAAGTTAATCAGCTTTTAACCACACCTCCACAAAAGCCCAATCGGCATCCAGAGTTCATCTTAAAAGGTCTCCAAATACACAACTCAGTCTGCTACCAAAAGAGCAGGCAGTGGTTGCGCTATCTCTGACTTTGATTCAGGTGACCCCTATTCAACCCACCTCCAGCCCCTCCTCCACCAGCGTAGCTAAAGCTTCATCTGAGTGTCATTCCTCCTGGACTCTTGTTACATTCCCTGTCTCATCTCAACCGGTCCAGCAGAAGACCGCCATGTTACGCCTGGTTCTGCCAAAGGTTCCTTCCCAATGGGGAGTTTTTCCTCTCCACTGTCGCTTCATGCTTGATCATCATGGACAAGTTCACGCAACCTGTGTTATCTAAGCTTGACTTCCATCTTCCAGGTCCCCGAGTAAAGCACTAATATGAACTCACGCAGTCCACTGGATCTCACCAATACAGCTCAACACACCATCTCGCCAACCAGCAGTCTACAGACTGACCATCCATCTCCACTCCATCACCAGTTTCAGGCGTAGGGGGGAAACATCCCTGTTCTTTACTCCTGTTCATGCATATCAAACAAAATTCAGTGCTAATGTTTCCTGCTGAGGTCTGAGTGCCAACGACTTAAGTAATGTATCAATAAAACTCTTCTAATTGTCTTTTTCTTTCCGTGTGATTTTTTCAGATTGAAATTACACATGTATGCAAAACCTACCAAGACATAGCTTTCCACCTGAGAACAACGTGCTACCTTTCCTATTAACCTGTCCACCCAAGCTGACGGACAAGAGAAAAAGCCATGAGGCTTGTGGTAACTTTGGAGCTAACATAGCTGCGATATCTGCTACTAAGGTCACAGAGCGCAGCTGTACAATATCAACCACTCTTAGATTTTAGAAATGTGGGTTCATATTCACAATTTTAAAAGCCTCTCCTATTTACATTTTATAAAAATGTACAATCCTTTGAATTCATAACATAAAATGATTTACCAAAGACAAAACAAATGTGGTTTAGCTGATTCAACTCCTAAACAATGGACTCTATGCACAACTAAACTACTTCCTAAATTAAGGCATCCCTTTAATTTATTTTTCTACTGGATGAACTGATTATTCCAGGTGTTACCTCAGTAACCATGGGCAGACACACCTGGATTAATCAGTTCCCCCAGTGATAAAAGACAGGAAACAGAAGAACTGTCCCTAATTCAGGAAGTAGTGGAGTTGTGTATAGAGTCCATTGAGTAAAATAAGCACAGAAGTTTTTTTTTTTTAAAGATAATCATACAGTGAATCATTGAATAGTTAAGCAGCACAACAAGTTACAGATAATTACAAATAATGTAATTATAATAAAGATAGATAAATGATTGAAAAAAAAATATTAGTCAATAATAAAAAGTAAAAAAATTGCAAACAGTACAGTACAAATGGATCTTAATATGATTTACAGACTGTAAAATGTTTTCAAAGGAAGATCTTTTAAAACATTTAGAAAAAAAATGATGACAAAATAAGTAAACACACTCTAGAAAAAGTAGAAGGAAGATATGACTTAAGATATGATATAAATGAGGCGAGTACAGATGCACTGTCAAATGGTTAAGGACACATGTCACAGCAAATGTGTGTCACCTTCTGTGGTTGCCATAAAAAGTGCTGTCTGAATAGTACTGGTAGGAGGGAAGGAGCTACAGCTTCCTATCACCAGTTCAGTTAGTATGAGGACCTCTGATGTTCCTTCCTACTGCCTGGAGCTATAGTTGCCCACTATTGTTTGTGTGACTGGATGTATAAGCACACACACCTATCAGAGTTAAAACAAAGACAATTATCTCTAGCTGGATGTATTAAGGCTAAAACTCCTTGCCAGCGTTGTTTAGGCTGGTTCCTTGTGCAAATGAGGGCATGGCAACCACAAACAGGCTTAAATTGTTCAGTTTAAGATCTGGTTAAAGCCTGTTTG